TCCAGGGTCAGATAATTTCATTTGAGAATTTTGCCAAATATTTAAAGAACACAATCTCTTCCAGAAAACAGAATACTAGTATTACCTTGATGCTGAAGACACAGTATAAAAGAAAAAAATACAGTCTACTATACATTATGAATATAGACACAAAAAATCCTTAAAAAACATTAACAAGGAGAATTCAATATTATATAAAAAGAATTTTACGTGACCAAGTGGGGTTTACTCCAGGGATTCAATGCTGGTTCAATATTTGAAAATCAATCAAGGTAATCTACCATTTCAACAAACTAAAGAAGGAACAAAAAATCAACACAATCAAATCAACTGATATAGAACAAACATTTGACCAAATTCAACTCTGATTCATGATAAAAACTCAGAAAAACAGGAATAGAGGGAAACGTCTTCAAATTGATAAAGTATCTACAAAAAAATTACAGCTAATATTATACTTAAGGGTGTAATAGTAAATCCTACCTTGAAGATCAAGAAGCAAGAATTTATCCTCTCACTATTCTTGACATAATCCTTAAATTCTTGTGTATGCAATAGGGGAAAGAAAGGCAATAAAAGGCCTATAGATAGGAAATAAAACTGTCCTACTTACAGATAACATGATTATGTAGAAAAATTCAATGAGTCATTAAATTTCTAGAACCAACAACTGAGTTCAGAAAAGTCACAAAGTAGAAGACAAACATACAAAAATCAGTTGTATTTCTATATATTAGCAATGGACATGTGGACACTGAAATTAAAAAATACATACTATTTATAATCACTCAAAAATACATAGTAGTGTAAAACAAAACATATGTAGGACTCTTATGTTGAAAACTACACAACAATGATGAAAGAAATAAAACAAAATATATAGACACAGTGTGTTCATGGATTGGAAGGCCAAGCACCGTAAAGATGTCAATTTACTCCAAATTGATATAGAGGTTTAAATGTAATTCCTATCCAAATCCAGCAAGAATTTTTGTAAATGTACTATTGCTACTGTAACAAATGGCTTAAAACACAGATTTATTATTTTACAGTTCTATATGTTAGAAGTCCGACATGGGTCTCACTGGGCTAAAAGCAAGTTGTGGGCAGGCTGCATTCCTTTATGGCCTTTTGGAGGCTCAGGTGGGACCTTCTTCTATCTTCTCCTCTATTCTCCTCCTCCTCTTTCTTCTTCATCTTCTTGTCATTTCCAGCTTCTAGAGGCTGCCTGCCTGCATTCTTTGGCGCATGGCCCTCTTGGTCTCCATCTTCCAAACAGGCAACAATAGGTAGAGTCCTGCATCATTCTGACTTCCTCTTCTGTCTCTTCCATCTTTAAAAAGACCTTTGTGATTACATCATGCCCGTGTGAATAATCCAGAATAATTTATTTAAAGACAGGTGGTTAGCAACCTTGATTCCATCTTGCAATCCCTTGCTATATAACCTGGAAATTCACAAGTTCCAGGGATTAAGATGTGGATATATTTGTGAGGCCATTACTTTTTCTATGTTGGTAAATATAAACCAGATTATTATTATTATTATTTTTTAAAGATTTTGTTTATTAATCTGACAGAGAGAGACACAGCGAGAGAGGGAACACACAAGCAGGGGGAGCGGGAGAGAGAGAAGCAGGCTTCCTGCCGAGCAGGGAGCCTGATGTGAGACTCGATCCCAGGACACTGGGATCATGACCTGAGCCGAAGGCAGACACTTAACGACTGAGCCACCCAGGCGCCCCCCAGATTATTATTTTTTTAAAGATCATTCTAAAATTTATATGGAAAGACATATGAGCTGGAATGTGTAAAGTCCTTTTGATAAAGAATAACAAAGTGGGAGGAATCACTCAACCCAATATCAAGATTTATAGTATAGATTCAATAATAAAGGCAGTGTGGTATTAGTAGAAACTGGCCCTTGGATCAATGGAACAAAACAAAGAATCAGAACTAGATTCACATAAACATGCCCAACTGATTTCTGAGGTATAAAACAAATTCAATGGAGGAAAGACAGCTTTTTCAACAAATGGTGCTGGAGCAATTGGACACTACAGGCAAACAAAAACAAACAAAAAATCCTCTACCTAAGTCTTATACATTATAACTCAATAATATTTCAGTCATATATATGATACAATCATATAACACAAATTAACTCAAAATGGATTGTAGACTTAAATGTGTAACATAAAACTATAAAACTTGCAGGAAAAAAGAAAGAAAAAATTGGGAGGATTTAGAGCTAGGTAAAGAGATCTTAGAGTTGATACCAAAAGCATGATTCATAAAAGAGAAATCTGATAAATTAGATCTCATCAAAGTTAAAATCTTTTGCTCTGCAAAAGACTTTGCTAAGAGGATAAAAAGACAACCTACTCACTAGAGGAAAATCCTTGCAAATCACATATCTTGCTAAGTACTAATATCTAATATATATAAAGAACTCTCAATATCCAACAGCAAAACCCCCCACAAACCCCCCCCCCCAAAAAAAGAAAAAACAGACAAAAGATATAAACTATATGGATGGTCAGTAAACACAAAAAGTCACTGGTCCCAAGAAAGTTGAAAACCCAGTGGAGTAAATTCCATTAGTTTTCAAGGCCTGACAGTAATCCCCTGTGCCCTGAGACTCTACCCTTCTTGAAGGGTAACGCATGTTTATAGTTGAGTATCTTGATCAGCCCTTTTCCTGCCTGTAGAATTTTGGAAACCTGACAGCCTTGTTATTTCATCCTGTCTCTGTTCTTGTCAGTCCAAGCTAGCAGTGTTTCTGCTGATACAAAATTTGCAAAGACCTTACGGGTTGTGGGTCTTCTCTGTTTGTCACAGGGATCCACACAATTAGTCAGGAGGCAGGACAAACTGCCCACACTCAAAAAAAAAAAAAAAAAAAAAAGCCATCACTGTTGGGCAACCATCTCTATTCATTTCTATTGAGATGGTTGATTGGATCCATGAGTCACATACCTAATCTCTTCAGCTAAAGTTGTCCAGGCACACCCTCTCTCCAGAGCAAGCTTTCTCCAGTGAATCTCCTAATTTCAGCATCCTTTGCAGTTTGGATAGGCTAATTCCCCCAAATAACCAGACTGTGGTTCCTTTTTGCATAATAGTTACTTCCTCAATTTCTCTTTTCTTTCACATTTTACTATAAGCAGCAAGAATACACCAGGTCCCACCTTCAACATTTTCCTTGGAAATTTCCTCAGCCAAGTATTCAAATTCATCACTTACAAGTTTGCTTTTCACACAACTATAAAACACAATTCAGCCAAATTTTCTGCTGTGTAATACGAATCATCTTTCCACCAGTTTCCAGTAATAGTTTTTTCATTTTCTTTTGAGCTCTCACCAGAAACACTATTAAATGTTAATATTTGTAGTAACATTCTCCTCATGAGGATATATGTATCCTCTAAGAAAATAGCTTTCTCAATCTTGCTCTTTTCCTCCTGAGCCGACACCTTACCATCCCTAAGCCTAACAGTCTGTTTAAGGCAATCTAGGCTTTTCTATCATGTGGCTTAAAATTCTTCCAGCCTCTACCCATTGCCAAAATGTACTTCCACATTTTTAGGTGTTTGTTTTAGCAGAGCCCCATTTCCTGGTACCAAAATCTGTATTAATGTCCTGGAGCTACCATAAAAATCATCACAAATTTGGTGGTTAAAACAAGAAAATTGCAGTATATTTATAAAGTAGCACACTTACAAAATTAAATTGAATGGACTTGATTTTAAATGGAAAAGTTAAAAATTATACATTTAAAAACAGAAAAATCATACAGAAAACTTCGCTTCTGCCACTTCTTTGGATTTTTGGAGGGACACTTCAAGTGGGTAACATTTTATGGACAGACATTTGCATAATATCTTTTTTGCCCCTTCCCTCTTTAGCCAACTGAGATATATTACATCCCACAGATTTGCATGAGGAGGGCTTACTATAGGATTGGGAGTAAGGGAAATGTAAAATGTGAAATATAGGTTTAGGATATTTGCTGTTTGTCCTAGGGTACCAAAGGAGTCTGGGACTGGCCTACCTGTTTTTAATGTTTTCATTATAATGAATACAGTAGCAATGTGTCTCTTCTAATAATACTCCATTCCATCCCCTCCTATAAGTGATATATATTTTGGTGGGTATAGTAACTATGATAGGAGAGTAGAAATTGTAGGAGATCTTGGGAAACAGTTAAGAGCATAAATATGTAGAGGTTCCCAATGATGACTATACAAATACTTTTGACTTGTTTATATAACCTCCTATACTGGAAGTTCTAGTAGGTAAGAAAACAGCCTAGTCATCTGTGAGTTCATAATTGTGTTTTTAAGTTTAGCCATTTAAAACACTGTCCATTAGTACACCAGATTTTCTAGTACCTCATACACAAGACCTATAAAACATGAATTTTATTATGTATAGCAATAAAATAAGTATATGCATACAATGCTCTACTGAAAACAAAACATGGCTATTTCAGGACATAACTAGTAAACCAGGAGGCAGGATAGCACATGTAGGAATGCTAGATAATTTATTTTTATGACAGCCACAGAAATGCATAGGAGAGAAGAAACAAATGAGAGTAGAATATCCAAGAAAAAGTGACTCACACATTCCCAACATCTTTGGTTGGTTGAGGCTAGAACAGATTCAGTTGTACCACTACCTCCCCACTCACTACATACCCAGGAAAAAGGATAGGCTTACATCCTCAGTTGTGAGTATAATTCTTTTGTTAATTGCCAATTGTTAGCATATAATAGTATTTATTCATATACAAATATAGATTTATTCAAATGAAACAATGATTAGATTCTCATATTTATGAATACAGACTCTATAACTTACCTATTTATTTTATTCTAGTATGTTCAAACTGCCCACTCAAAAAAACAAAACAAACCCCAAACCTCAAAAGACCCCAAATCCCAGTAAGCATAAATAATTATTTGTAAAGGCTAAATTCCACAATGTTCTGTCTGGCCAGACAAGGCATTATATTTTCTATGACCCTCTCAAGTCTGAATTCTTATCATGTCAGAATTTCCTTATCACCCACTTTTTTTTTCTCTCAAGTTATCTGCAAGCCCTGGACAAGCATGTTTCCATTTATTATCCACTGGCAATTGCTGTCCCTTTCTGTAAGACAGACGGCCTCAATTGGGGGGCAGGGGAAGCTTATTTAAATTTCCACTGCATTTTATTATACAGAGTAACAGTGTATACAGTAAATATATGTTATAAATAATCAGGGGCTTTCAGTAACACTGTTCAAGGTTGCTGAATTTACTATTTTCACAGAAAAGATGCTATAGATGTTATTGTTTTGGCAGATTTCCAATTCTCAAACATCACAATCTCTCCAGTGATTTTTCTCCTTTTTAAAAGATTTTATTTTTTTCTTGAGAGAGAGAGAGAGAGCAACAGAGACCACAAGTGGGGAGGAGAGGGAGAAGCAGGCTCCCCGCTGAGCAGGGAGCCCGATGTGGGAATCGATCTCAGGACCCTGGGATTATTACCTGAGCCCAAGGCAGACACTTAACCAACTGAGCCACCCAGGTGCCCCTCCAGTGATTTTTCATTTGAGAAGTTCAGAGACCCACATTTCCTGAGAAAAATCAAGGTATAAAGGCTTACTTATATATCTATTTCATAATTCTGTCTACAGTGACTTATTCTCTCAAATTTTACTCATCTATGTCACTTCTTGGTCTCCCTTTCTCTAGTATGAATTCTTTGATGTTGAATAAGGTGTAAGTTATGGCTAAAAGTATCCCTATAATCGTGACAACTGTAGGACTCCCTCCAATATGAATTCTCAGGTTTTGTGTAAGGTTTAAGCCACAGCTAAAGAGTCTTTTTAAAATTTCTTACATTCATATACTCATGACTAACAGTCTTCTTACAATTATAACACTATATGGATTTTTTTAGAATTCTCCAGTTGGATGACTGCTAAAAGACCTTTCTCCACATTGCTTACAATCAGAGCTGTTACTCTCCAAAGTGAATCAACTCATAGTCAGAAAGGTCTGAGATGTCTGGCAGTTATCTACCATAGCTGAAGAAACTTGCATATACCCTTGGACTGAGTAATTCATCTTAATATAAGATTAACAGAAATACACACACACATGAATATTTATAGCATTTATAGCAGTATTTTTATTATAACACAAAATTATAAAAAATACCAATATCCATCAAGAGGATAAATATGGTATATTTTAAAATGGAAGAGTAAAGAGAATGAAAATGAACACATTGCTGCCACATGCAATAATGTGTGAATCTTAAGAATGTTGAGTGAAACAAGACACAAAAAAATTCATGACACATGATAAAACATACATAAAGTTTAAAGATATGCAAAGACTACTTCATGACGTTATACGCCAGGTACATGGTAATCTTTGGGGAAGTAACAACTTTTTTATTCCAGAGCATAAGGAGAAATATATTTCATATTTTCTTTTATAAAAACTGATTTTATGACCATTTTGTATCTTGCCTCTGCATGTATTATGTAAAACTTTTTAAAAAAATAAACTGAGTCAACAGAACTTGAAAACTTAAAAATTAGCTTCATTTCTGATAGAATTCAATAACAATGATCATACCCATTATATATGCTAGTAAACAGTAGATAGTTATGTAGTTGGTACTTTAACTATTATTACATTTGTGATTAAAATTACCTTATTAAAATGTTTTAGCATGCTTTTTTTTTTAAACTAAAGTTTTACAATAACTTGGAAAGGGTTTACAAAGAAATCACATCATTTATTGCATTTCTATGTTTTCTCCCTTGTGAGTTCTCTGATGGACAATGAGGTTTCTCTTATAACTGAAGGACTTACCACACTCATTACAAATATAGGGTTTCTCCCCTGTGTGAGTTCTCTGATGTACGATGAGATTTGTCTTCTGGCGGAAGCACTTCCCACATTCATTACATTTATATGGTTTCTCTCCTGTATGAGTTCTTTGATGATGAATGAGATATGACTTCCTGCTAAAGGCTTTCCCACACTGAGGGCATTCATAGGATTTCTGTCCTGTATGTATTTTCTGATGTACAGTTAGAGTTGCTTTCTGGCGAAAGGACTTTCCACATTCATTACAGATATAGGGTTTCTCCCCTGTATGAATTCTCTGATGTAGATTCAGATTTGTCTTCTGACTAAAGGATTTCCCACATTCATTACATTCATATGGTTTCTCTCCTGTGTGAGTTCTGTGATGATCAATGAGGTATGACTTCATCCTAAAGGCCTTCCCACAGTGAGGACATTCATAGGATTTTTCCCCTGTATGTGTTCTCTGATGTGCCACAAGGGTTGTCTTCTGGCGGAAGGACTTCCCACATTCATTACAAATATAGGGTTTCTCCTCATTATGAGTCTTCTCATGAAGAGCAAGGGTTGTCTTCTGGGAGAAAGATTTTCCACATTCATTACAAATATAGGGCTTTTCCCCTGTATGAGTTCTCTGATGTACAGTAAGGTTTGCCTTCTGATGAAAGGACTTCCCACATTCTTTACAAATATAGGGTTTCTCTCCTGTATGAATTCTCTGATGTAAAGAGAGTGTTGTCTTCTGGCGGAAGGACTTCCCACAGTCATTACACTCATACGGTTTCTCTCCTGTATGAGTTCTCTGATGACGAATGAGGTGTGACTTCAATCTGAAGGCATTCCTACACTGTGGACATTCGTATGATTTCTCCCCTGTATGTGTTCTCTGATGATCAGTGAGGGCTGTCTTTAGGCGGAAGGACTTTCCACATTCATTACAAACAAAGGGTTTCTCTCCTGTGTGAGTTCTCTGATGATCAATGAGATAGGACTTCCTTCTAAATGAATTTCCACATTGATGACACTGATAGGGTTTTTCCTCTGTGTGAATTCCCTGATGCAGAATCAATACTGATTTCCTGCAGAAGGACTTCCCACATTCAGTGCATGTATGTTTTTTTTCAATATTGGTTGCTCTTCTCCTTTTATTATACTCAGATGGGTTTTCCCTTCTGTGAGCTCTATTATGTGTAATTAAGCCTCCCTTTTTAAGGAAGGCTTTCTCACAGTCATTATATCCAAATGACTGTGCTGGAGTTTCCACCTTATGATATTGCATAAGTACTTCATTATGACTGACAGCCCTGCCATGTTGATTATGGGATTTGACTCCAGGTTGAGCTGTCTCCACTTTAGCACTGAGGAGTGATTTCCCATATCCATTATACTCACTAAGTCTTTTTCTTGCAGGACTTAGATTACTGATGATTAATTCTGAAACATTTTTCAAAATCTTTCCATGAGTGTCATATTGAGGAGGTAGATTTTTTGAATTAATAGGGTTTTTGCTTAAAGTAAATGTCTTTTCATACGCATTACTGTTTTCCTTAATCAGTTTTTTGTGGTTGATGAATACAACTGATCTAGAAAACTTATCTTGGTGTTCCTTGAATTTCACTAAAAAGTCTTCCTCTTTCCAATTTTCTTCTACAAAAGAATATAATTAATAACAATTTGTGAATCTTCACATATTTGCTATGGAAAGAAGTTGTACTAGTATCTAGCATATGAGATCAAGAAAGACCCAGGACAAATTACTCCCTGCCTGGGAAAAGACACAAAACCTAAATAAAAACCCTGCCTCAGTGTGGAAAAAAATAAAAAATTAAGCAATGTACATTAGCAACTTCTGCACTTTGTACCAGAACTTCATACAGAAAGTGAAACAAATACACCAAGCAGTGAGGAGAAGACAAAGAATGGTGAGAGACTGATGCTTGGATAGGTGGATTCAGAAGCAATGAAGTGAACCTTTCAAAGACAATAAACTTTAAGTAGGATGGACAAGAAAAATTAGTAGAAAAGCTTGTTCAAGAAAAATACTAGAGGAAGGATTACTTTTGGAGAACACAGATCAGAACCTGTATTTTTATACATTCATCCCTAGATTGTGAGGCAAAACACTTACAGTTGTTCCACCACCCCTTTCCATGTAGCTATCAATGGCTAATTAATCTTTCCAAGTATCAATTTCCTAGTGTTTAGAGAGACACTTTTTCTAAAAAGATACATTTTAGAGAGAAAGTACACATGCAAGTGGGGGGAGAGGGAGAGAAGCAGACTCTTGAGGAAGCAGACTCTCCAGTGAGTGCAGAGCCTGATGTGGGGCTTCATCTCAGGACCTTGAGATCATGACTGGAGCCAAAATCAAGAGTTGGACTGTCAACTAACTGAGCCACCCAGGCACCCCTAGAAAGACAATCTTTTTTTTTTTTTTAAGATTTTATTTATTTATTTGACAGAGAAAGAGACAGCGAGAGAGGGAACACAAGGGGAGGGGTGAGAGAGGGGGCAGGGAGCCCTATGCGGGGCTCAATCCCAGGATCCTGGGATCATGACCTGAGCCAAAGGCAGATGCTTAACGACTGAGCCACCCAGGCGCCCCAAAAGACAATCTTATAGCCTAGGCTCTAATCCCCCATATAGCTGGGAATCATTTTCTCTTGTGAGAAAAGAGCTAAGAAAATATTTCCACAGGAATTATAAAACTGGGGGTACATTTACTGGCATATTCATATTGCTATTATCTATCCTTCTAGGATGGTTCAATAACAAAAATCTCATGACCATCAATTATAACTATTCCTCTTTGTAGACTTACTTTTTCATGTTTAAAGACTGCTGCAAGTCTTTCCCCAATAAAATAACTTTTCTTAACTCAGTTTTCCATATGCTGGACAAGATTAGATTGTTCATTCTCATTCTAAATCATTAACTTTAACCTTCATTTCTCTTATTTTTTTGTAGCTTTATTTTGTAGCTATATTTGACTTCTGTTACTCTGCAATCATCCACATCCAATAGAACAATGTTAAACCTAGGGTTTTTTCCTTCAGCCCATACCCTCAACACGAACATAAAAGGAACCTCTGTAAACAAGACTTTAAATCACCTAGATTCACTTTTATACACAAACAAGCTTTCAGCGTTGTCCACGTATCTGACAAATCTCACACATAACAATAGAAGGCCTCATATTTATTGCCTTATAAATATCTCACTTAATCACATGCTTTGCTCATGTTCTTTTAATCAGTTGGCTTGCCTTCCAGTCTTATTTCTGCTCATATTTAGGTAATGCTATCATTCAATGATATGAAAATTCCATCACTTACTTCCCCCCACCACTTTAAACACTATTTCTTTATAACTTGAAAATGGTTATAGTCTAGGAAAGTCTTTTTAACAAATCTTTTTACAAGCTTAATCAAGCCATAAATATTTCATGAAAAATGCAGATTTTGATAGTAATCCTTTTTCATAGAAAAAAATACTTTATTGGTTATCTCCTTTGAACTCTTCTGAGTGTACATTAACACTGTGTATCCTACCTAGATAGATAGTGCTTGGCAGAATTCAACCATTTCAATCAGAATCTATACAGTGATGGCCTGAGCAGGTATCTGAAAGGAATTACCAGTATGAGCTTTCTGAATAGAGGAAAACATACCTCCTCTGTATAGCTCCACAGTTAATGAAGCAACTACTGAGTCCTTAACATATTATACACTACAGCAAAAAAGATTCGAACAGAGGATCTTATCCTCTTAAGGAAAGAATCCTTAAATATAAACCATGTATAATCAGGTATCAAATTATATAACCATATCCAAGAGTTGTGTTTTAGTTAGTAGGTAGCATGGGAATTCAGAAAAAGAATGTGGAGTAGTTAAGGAACAATTTATGGAGAAAAAAATCTCAAGACTTAACTTAAAAGATATATAGTATATGAAAGGGAGAACACAACACAATGAGAAGTACATACATCTTGACAAATCATAGATGTGTGGAGAACATTGAGGAGACTAGATCAAGTGGAAATTACCAAGTTTTCCACAGGGAGAAAAATAAAGCTGAAAAGACCAAATGAAGGCTTATTTTAGTAGTCCTTGAATCAAGAATTTCAATTTCATATAATAATAGGGAACAATAAATTGAAAGAGTTAAGACAAAATTAGAGGAAAGCCAAGATGTAATTATTATAGTCAAGACATGAAATAAGGTAACATCATTTTGTATGACATCAGTGAAAAATGAAAATATGGGAAGATGTAAGTAAATATATCTCACAGGCTGATAAACATAATACAAATTGTGAAGAGATCCACAAGAGATGGTGATAGAGACAGAAAAAGCTGGTATCATGGTAGAAATAAAATAATTTGGAAATAGATAATGAGGAAGAATTTAAAAGCTAGGCAATTTCATGATTTTCATTTCAACATAATGTCACAAAATAGATGAAACATCAGAGTTCAGAACTCCTGAAGTACTACAGTGAAGGTGGGAGAAATGTGCTGAGTATGTTGGTGTTAGAGACATCTACATAAAACAAAGAGCTTCAGTCCTCAGAATGGATGAGATTACTATAATTTAAAGGCAGATCCCTTGAGGTCAAATCAGAGAAATAAGACTGAGAGTCTAGTAAAACAATATACATTTAAAAATATATGTATCAGTGACTATTACATGCCAGGTATTGTTCCAGGCAATATGGCCAGTAATGAAGAAAACAGAACAAGTTGGAAATAATCACTAAGGGAATCAGGGTAAGAATAAGTAATGTTTTACTCACACCAAGGGTTGACTTCAGGTGTGATGATCAGCCATATAAAATGAACCACAAAAGTTTACTGGAAGAAAATGATAACTGTGGAATTATCAATCTAGCCAAGGCAAGTGAGTTTTAAAACCAACAGCTAGATTTGTGGTGAGAAGGGGAGCTTATTAGACTTAGCACAGAAAACAAATCTGAGGTAATAAAAAGAAAAAAAAAATGGAAAGCAGTGAGAAGAAAAACATTAACCAAGAATATTCTCTTCTTTAAAAATAGATTTAAGAATGCCTAAAAGAAATATATACAACGGCAAGAAGATAAAGGACTGAGCCTAGAAAAAGACACAAATCGAGAAAAAAGATCTAAAGGAAGGCTTATAGTACATTTTGATTGAGTGGCAACTATCCTTGATAACATCAAGCAAACTAGAAAAGAATATTATATTGGGAAAGTGATATTTAAAAGTTTAAATTTTGCAGGCATGATGATCATTTAAAAATTTAGGAGCCTTTAAAAAGACAAAATATTTCAAAGGTGCCACCCACCACATGACCATTTTAAAATTTATTCTCCACTAGACTTTATCCACCTGAAGAGTCAGAAACTCACCTAAGCAGGCATGACCTGTAAATGATGTCCATGGCTCTTCTCCTCGTTCCAACTTGAGGATCACATCAGGTTTGGTCATGTGACACCCTGATAAAGAAAAATTTGGATTAAGTTGCTTAGGCCTCAATACATTTGAATAATTAGTACAGTACATTTTCAATGCAAATTAAGATACTTCTTCATGTAAGAGAAAACTTAACATCTTGTTCTGGGTAAGTACACAATTATCCTCTCTGTTAACAAATAATTCATCACCTCTTAAGCCTGAAATTCAGGGCATAATTCAGGCACTTTGAAAGGAAATGTATACTACTGGAATTTTCAAAGAGAGTTTTTCTTACCCACAGAGATGAGATGGCAATAGTTTTCCAACATCACATCCATGTAGAGAGTCTTCTGAGCAGGATCCAGGTGCTGCCACTCCTCCCGAGTGAAGTCCACAGTCACATCTTTGAATGACACTGATGACTGCAATGGATTGGGACTATGATCAGAGTAAGCTGACTAGATATTGTGGACTACTTTTGATCCTGCTTCTTTGGGGCATTCATATGAATATAAAGAAAGCCAATCATTTTTGTCTTGTGATTTACATGGTAAGATAAACAAAAGTGAAGACAGAAGTAACTGGCACTGAATTTATTTAATAATTAATTCTAAAAATATTTACGTGAAGTTGCTTTGTACCCCAAAACTGCATTCGTTTACTGGAATGCCAAGACATACAAAGCATGGTCCCTACATAGCCTCAAAGCAAGGAACACACACCTTTAATACGGTATGTATAAACACAAACCTGCTAGAAGGTGTTACAGGTACTACAACAAAAGAATATACAAGATGCAGTATATTACAAGGGGAGCACAAATGAGGAAGTAAAATTTTTCCCTGTCAAGATTATGTTATGTGGGAAGAATATGGTTTTAGAATGCATAGGAACAACTGGCATCCAAAACTAATACAGTGAATTGGTCACGAAAATAATCCCTCAGATAATCATTATTTAGAATTAACATAACATATATTTCTGAACACAATATATAATAAATGACAGATGGCACTGGAAAATAATCAAAGCAAGCAAAAACTGAAGAATTTATTCTTAATGGACAGCAACTGCAATGGGTAAGAACTGTTCAGTTCATGGCTTTTTTTTGCATGAAGGTAGCAGAAACCCTACAGCTCCTGAGGCAGAATTTAGAACTGGCAGATAAGCTGGAGATTTAGAAATAAATTCATTCATTCATTCTTTCTTTTCTTTCTCTCTCTCTCTCTCTCCCTCTCTTTTTCTTTTCTTTTCCCTTCCTTCCTTCCTTCCTTCTCTTTCTTTCTCTTTCTCTCTCTCTCTTTCTTTTTTTAAAGTAGGCTCCATGCAATGTTGAGCCCAATGCGGGCCTTGAACTTATGACCGTGAGATCAACACCTGAGCTGAGATCAAGGGATGCTTGACCAATTGAGTCAGCCAGGCACCCCTGGAAATAAATTACTGAAGTGAGAGAACTACAGAAAGGATAAGAACCAAAATCAGAGTATAAACGCTGCCAGAACTCCAGGTTGGTAGTTAAACTAAGCAATTGTTGGAGACATCACAGAGGACTTAGCAAGATACCAGAAAAGAGTTCTGAAAAATAGAAGTGCACCTACACCTATGAGATTCTGAGATTTCTGCATTTTTTTATTAACAGCATTACATAACCTGCTCATAGCTCAAGCAGAAGAAAACTGAAGCCTTACTGGATGGGAGGTGTCAGAAAATTGCAGCTCACAGAGCAGCAGGAAATATAGGGGGTGAACACTGGAAGAAAGAGCCCTACAGAAAGTAAGCCCTAAAATATAAGTATAAACACCAATTCCTTAATAAAGAGCTAAAGTACGTGAACACAAAAAGAACTGACCTCCCCTCCCCTAAGGGGGCTAGGGTCAAAAAGCAGCAGGTGGAAGCTGAAAGAACTGAACTGATATATCAGCTGCTTTACACTTGAGGGTGGGGGCAGTTTTAAAGTTCGATTTCAAGCAAATTAGTTGCCTGCTTAAAAAAAACCCAATAATCCTCAGAAAAAAAAGACAGAATGAAATTACTGTATTATTCATGATATTCAGGTTTCTAGCAAAAATTACTAAACACACAAACAAAACAAAACAAGAGGAAGGGGTATGACCCATATTCAGAAAAAGCCAGAGAAACTAATCCCTAGTGGGCCCCAATGTTGGATTTTGCCAAAAAAAGGCTTCAAAGCAGCTATTTTTAATGTGTTCAAAGAAAATGAAAAACCTGGGCATGGAAATAGATATAAGTAAAAAATCAATACATGAATGAAAAGAACTATTAAAATGTATTTGATTGACACAAGACACAACATATATAAGAACAGATGACTAAAAAACAGGTTGGGGTGCCTGGGTGGCTCAGTCAGTTAAGTATCTGACCCTTGATTTCAGCTCAAGTCATGATCTCAGGGTCGTGGGATTGAGCCCTACATTGGGCTCCATGCTCAGTGGGGAGTTGGCTTGAGATTCTCTCTCTCCCACTCCCCCTACTCCTCCCTCCCCTAAAATAAATAAATAAATCTTAAAAAAAAAAAAAAACCCAAAACAGGTTAGGATAAGAAGCCAATCAGAAAAGGCTGTATGATTCCAACTATATGATATTCTGGGAAGGCAAAACTAAGGAGATAGTTTAAAAAAAAAAAAAAAAAAGGAAGGGACAAGGGATGAATAGGTGTAGCACAGAGGATTTTTAGAGCAGTGAAACTATTCCATATAATACTATAATGGTGGATATATCATTATATATTTGTGAGAATCCACTGAATATATAAGACCAAGAGTGAACCTTAATGTAAACTACAGACTTTGGGAAATAATGATGTGTTAATGTAGGTTCACTGTAATAAATGTATCACTCTAGTGCAAAATGTTGATAATGGGGAGGCTATTCTTGTGTAGGGGCAGGGGGTAAATGGAAATTCTGTACTTTCTTTTAAAAAAAGATTTTATTTTTAAGTAATCTTTATGCCCAATGTGGGGCTTGAACCCAAAATCCCAGATTAAGAGTCACATGCTCCAGGGACTGAGCCAGCCAGGAGCCCTGAAACTGTACTTTCTATATAATTTTGCCATGAACCTAAAACTGCCTTAAAATACAGAATATATTTAAAAGGATTAAAAAAAGGGGTTAGTAAAGGCACCTGCAGATTGAAAGTGAGGGGATGGAGAACCATTTATCATGCTAATGGACATCAAAAGAAAGCTGAGGAGCCATATTTTTTTCAGGCAAACTAGATTTTATTTTATTTTATTTTATTTTAAGATTTTATTTATTTGACAGAGCAAGAGAGAGATCACAAGAGCAGCAGGCAGAGGGAGAGGGAGAACAGGTTCCCTGCTGAGCAGAAAGCTTATGTGGGGCTTGATCCCAGGACCCTGGGATCATGACCCGAGCTGAAGGCAGACAGGCAACCAACTGATCCACCCAGGCACTCCCAAATGAGATTTTAAACCAAAGACTGTAACAAGATATGAAGAAGGGCATTATATCATAATAAAGGGGCCTATCCAACAAGAAAATCTAACAAGTGTAAATATTTATGCTCCCAATTTGGGAGTACTCAAATATACAAATCAATTAATAACAAACATAAAGAAATTCATTGATAAAAATACAATAACAACAGGGGATTTTAACACCATTTACAGCAAAGGAAAGATCATCTAAACAGAAAATCAACAAGGAAACAATGGCTTTGAATAACACACTGGACCAGATGGACTTAATAGATATATTCAGAACATTTCATCCTAACGCAGCAGAATACACATTTTTTTCCAGTGCACATGGAACATTTTCCAGAACAGATCACATACTGGGTCACAAATCAGGCCTCAACAAGTACAAAACATCTGAGATCATACCATACATATTTTCTGACCACAACGCTATGAAACTTGAAGTCAACCACAAGAAAAAATTTGGAAAGACCACAAATACATGTTAAAGAACATCCTACTAAAGAATGAGTGGGTTAACCAGGAAATTAAAGAAGAAATTAAAAAAAAAATACATGAAAGCAAATGAAAGTGAAAACATGACAGTCTAAAACCTTTGGGATGAAGCAGAAGTGGTCCTAAGAGGAAGTACGTAGCAATACAGGCCTGTCTCAAGAAACAAAACTCTCAAATACACAACCTAACTTTATACCTAAAGGAGCTAGAGTAAGAGGAAATAAAGCCTAAAGCCAGCAGAAGAAGGGAATAATAAAGATTAGAGCAGAAGTAAATAATAGACAAATAATAGAAAAAAAAAAAAAAACCCAGTAGAACAGATCAATCAGACTAAGAGCTGGTTCTTTGGAAGAATTAATAAAATTGATAACCCCATAGCCAGACTTACCAAAAAGAAAAGAGAAGGACCCAAATCAATAAAATCACAAATGAAAGAGAAGACATCACAACCAACACGACAGAAATATAATTATAAGAGAACATTAAAAATTATATGCCAACAAACTAGGCAATCTGGAAGAAATGGATGAATTCCTAGAAACATAAATTACCAAAACTGAAACAGGAATAGAAAATTTGAACAGACCCATAACCAGCAAAGAAATTGAATCAGTAAGCAAAAAAATCTCCCAACAAACAAAAGTCCAGGCAGGGCCTGATGGCTTCCCAGGAGAATTCTACCAAACACTTTTTTTTTTTTTTTAAGATTTTATTTATTTGACAGAGAGAGACACAGCGAGAGAGGGAACACAAGCAGGGGGAGTGGGAGAGGGAGAAGCAGGCTTCCCATGGAGCAGGGAGCCCAATGCGGGGCTCGATCCCAGGACCCTGGGATCATGACCTGAGCCAAAGGCAGACACTTAACTGTCTGAGCCACCCAGGTGCCCCTCTACCAAACATTTAAAGAAGAGTTAATACCTATTCTTCTCAAAATGTTCCAAAAAATAGAAATGGAAGGAAAACTCCCAAACACATTCTACAAGGCCAGCATTACCTTGATTCCAAAACCAGTCAAAGACCACACTAAAAAGGATAATTAAAGGCCAATATCCCTGGGCGCCTGGGTGGCTCAGTTGGTTAAGCGACTGCCTTCGGCTCAGGTCATGATCCTGGAGTCCTGGGATCGAGTCCCACATTGGGCTCCCTGCTCGGCGGGGAGCCTGCTTCTCCCTCTGACCCTCCCCCCTCTCATGTGCTCTCTCTCTCTCTCATTCTCTCTCTCAAATAAATAAATAAAATCTTAAAAAAAAAAAAAAAAGGCCAATATCCCTGATGAACATGAATGCAAAAATTTTCAATAAGATACTAGCAAACCGAATCCAACAGTACATTAAAACAATTACTCACCATGATCAAGTGGGATTTATTCCTGGGCTGCAAGGGTAGTTCAATATTTGCAAATCAATCAACGTGACATGCTACATTATTAAAAGGATAAGAACCATACAATCCTGTCAAGAGATGCAAAAAAAGCATTTGACAAAATACAGTATCGATTCTTGATAAAAACCCTCAACAAACTAGGGATAGATGGAAGATACCTCAACATCATAAAGGCCATATACAAAAGACCTACAGTTAATATCATCCTTGATGGGGAAAAATGAAAGCCTTTCCTCTGTGGTCAGGAACAAGACAAGGGTGTCCACTCTCATCATTGTAATTTAACATAGTACCAGAAGTCTTAACCTCAGTAATCAGACAACAAAAAGAAATAAAAGGTATCCAAATTAGCAAGGAAGAAGTCAAACTTTCACTATTCACAACAATATGATACTCTATGTAGAAAACCTGAAAGACTCCACCAAAAAATTGCTAGAATACAGGAATTCAGCAAAGTTGCAGGATACAAAATCAACATAAAGAAATCTGTTGCATTTTTATACACCAATACACCTTTGATCAAGGAATCAAATACCATTTACAGTTGCACCAAGAACCATAACTTTCCTAGGAATAAGCCTAACCAGAGTAAAATATCTGAACTCTGAAAACTATAGAACACTTATGAAAGAAATTGAAAATGACACAGAGAAATGGAAGAACAAATATTGTTAAAATGTCTATGCTAGGGCACCTGGGTGGCTCAGTTGGTTGGGCGACTGCCTTCGGCTCAGGTCATGATCCTGGAGTCCCTGGATCGAGTCCTGCATCGGGCTCCCTGCTTGGCTGGGAGTCTGCTTCTCCCTCTGCCCCTCCCCCCTCTCATGTGTTCTTTCTCATTCTCTCTCAAATAAATAAATAAATAAAATCTTAAAAAAAAAAAATGTCTATGCTACCCAAAGCAATCTACACATTTAATGCAATTCCTATAAAAATACCACCAGCATTTTTCAAATAGGTAGAACAAACAATCCTAAAATTTGTATGGAACCACAAAACACCCTGAATAGCCAAAGCAATCTTGAAAAAGAAAAAGCTGGAGGCATCACAATTCCAGATTTCAAGTTATATTACAAAGCTGTAGTCATCAAGACAGTCTGGTACTGGCACAAAGAGAGATGAATAGATCAATGGAACAGAATAGAGAACCCCGAAATGGACCCACACTATATGGTAACTAATCTTTGACAAAGCAGGAAAGATTAATGAAAAAAAGACAGTCTCTTCAACAAATGGTGTTAGGAAAACTGGACAGCAACATGTAAAAGAATGAAACTCGATCACTTTTATATACCATACACAAAAATAAATTCAAAATGGATTAAAGACCTAAATATGAGACAGGAAACCATCAAAATCCTAGTGGAGAAACAGGCAGAAACCTCTTCGACATCGGCCATAGCAACCTTACTAGACAAGTCTCTAGAGGCAAGGGAAACAAAAGCAAAAATGAACTATTGGGATTTCATCAAGGTAAAAAGCTGCACAGTGAAGGAAACAATCAACAAAACTACAAGGTAGCCTATAGAATGGGACTTCTCCCATTTGCAAACGACGTATCTGATAAAGGGTTAGTATCCAAAAATCTATAAAGAACTTATCAAACTCAACACCCCCAAAATAAATAATCCAGTTAAGAAACAGGCAGAAGAGGGGCACCTGGGTGGCTCAGTCATTAAGCGTCTGCCTTCGGCTCAGGTCATGATCCCACGGTCCTGGGATTGAGCCCCACATCGGGCTCCCTGCTCCACGGGAAGCCTGCTTCTCTCTCTCCCACTCCCCCTGCTTGTGTTCCCTCTCTCGCTGTGTCTCTCTCTGTCAAATAAATAAATAAAATCTTAAAAAAAAAAAAAAAAATAGGCAGAAGATACGAAGAGACATTTTTCCAAAGAAGACATCCAGATGGCTAATAGACACATGAAAAGATGTTCAACATCACTCATCATCAGAGAAATACAAATCAAAACCACGATGAGATACCACCTCACACCTATCAGAATGGCTAAAATTAGCAACACATTAAACAACAGATGTTGGCAAGGATGCGGAGAAAGGGGAACCCTCCTACACAGTTGGTGGGAATGCAAACTGGTAGCAGCCACTCTGGAAAACAGTATGGAAGTTCCTCAAAAAGTTAAAAATAGAACTACCCTACAACCCAGCAATTTGCACTGCTAGGTATTTGCCCAAGGATACAAAAATACTGATTCAAAGGGGTACATGCACCCCGATATTTATAGCAGCATTATCAACAATAGCCAAATTATGGAAAGAGCCCAAACGTGCGTCCATCAACTGATGAATGGGTAAAGAAGATGTGGTATGTGTATCTATATGGAATACTACTCAGCCATCAAAAAGAATAATATCTTGCCATTTGCAATGACATGGATGGAGCTAGAGTGTATTATGCTAAGTGAAATAAGTCAGTCAGAGAAAGATAAATACCGTATGATTTCACTCATGTGGAATTTAAGAAACAAAATAGATGAACATAGGGAAAGGGAAAAAAAAAAGAGGGAGGTGAACCATAAGAGTCTTAATGATAGAGAACAAATTGAGGGTTGCCAGAGGGGAAGTGGGTGGGAGATGGGCTAAATGGGTGATGGGTATTAAGGACGGCACATGTTGTGATGAGCACTGGTTATATGTAAGTGATGAGTCACTGAATTCTACTCCTGAAACCAGTATTACACTATATGTTAACTAATAAGAATTAGTTAAAGGGACACCTGGGTGGCTCAGATGGTTAAGCATCTACCTTCGGCTCAGGTCATGATCCCAGGGTCCTGGGATTGAGCCCCGCATTGGGCTCTGTGCTCAGCAGGGAGTCTGCTTCTCCCTCTCCCTCTGCCTGCCTGTCTGCCTACTTGTGATCTCTCTTTCTCTGTCAAATAAATAAATAAAATCTTAAAAAAAAAAAAAGAATTAGTTAAAAACTTAAAACAAAACAAGTTAGGCATTTGGAAAACAAACAGCAAAATGGTAGCCCTATATCCATATACCTCTAACTGTATTAAATATAAATGGACTAAACACTCCAATAAAATGGCCAGGATTATTAGACTGCATGAAAAAGCAAGATTCATATAATTCTGTCTGTAAGAGAAATATTTTAAATACCATAGACACAAATACGCTGAAAATGGAAATGGATGGAAAATTATACACAACCACTAAACATGGGAAAGTTGAGGAGTGTTACTACTACAGACAAAGGGGGCATTTTATAATGATAAAAGAGAAAATACACCAGAATAACAATTACAAATGTATATGTACTTAAATAAGAAAAGTTTCAAAGTACACTAGGCAAATACTGACAAAAGTAACATGAGACTTAAAAAAGTCCAAAACCATGGTTGATGTTAATGTTTGTCAGTAAATGAAAGAACTAGACCAAAGGGGGGGAAATCTGGACAGATTCAGAATCTCTAAAGAATACTGACAACAACCTAACTCATTTCATATTTGTGGAGTACTACTTTATTTATTTATTTATATTTTTAAAAGATTTTATTTGTCAGAGAGAGAGTGAGCACAAGCAGGGAGAGCAGCAGGCAGAGCAGGCAGAGGGAGAAGCAGACTCCCTGCTGAGCAAGGAGTCCAATGTGGGACTCGATCCCAGGACGCTGGGATCATGACCTGAGCAGAAGGCAGACGCTTAACCAACTGAGCCACCCAGGCGTCCCTTTTTTTTTTTTTTTAAGATTTTATTTTATTATTTTTTAAAGGTTTTATTTATTTGAGAGAGAGGAGAGAGCGAGCATAAGTGGGGGGAGGGGCAGAGGGAGGGAGAAGCAGACTCCCTGCTGAGCGGGGAGCCCAATGTGGGGCTGGATCCCAGGATCCTGAGATCATGACCTGAGCTGAAGGCAGATGCTTAACCAACTGAGCCACCTAGACGACCCTTAAAGATTTTATTTTTAAGTAATCTCTAATCTCTGTACTAACCTGGGGTTCAAACTCACAACCCTGAGATCAAGAGTCACATGCTCCATTAACTAAGCCAGCCAGGTACCCCTTACAGTACCGCTTTTTTTTTTTTTTTTAAAGATTTTATTTATTCATCTGAGAATGAGAGAGAGAACATGAGAGGAGAGAGGGTCAGAAGCAGAAGCAGACTCCCCTCTGAGCAGGGAGCCCGATGCAGGACTCGATCCTGGGACTCCAGGATCATGACCTGAGCCGAAGGCAGTCACTTAACCAACTGAGCCACCCAGGTGCCCCTACAGTACCACTTTTTTTTTTTTTCAAGATTTTATTTATTTATTTGACAGAGACAGAGATAGCGAGAGCAGGAACACAAGCCCCGGGAGTGGGAGAGGGAGAGCAGGCTTCCCGCCGAGGAGGGAACCCGATGTGGGACTCGATCCCAGGACCCTGGGATCATGACCTGAGCCGAAGGCAGACGCTTAACGACTGAGCCACCCAGGCGCCCCCTACAGTACCACTTTTAATAATCTCCCAACACATCTGTTTTTCTTTTTTAAAGATTTAATTTATTTATTTGAGAGAGAGAGCACATGTGTGAGCATGCATATAGGGGTAGGGTCAAAGGGAGAGAATCCTCAAGCAGACTCCCCGCTGAGCACCAAGCCCAATGCAGGGCTCAGTCTCACAACCCATGAGATCATGACCTGAGCTGAAACCAAGAGCTGGACGATTAACCGACTGAGTCACCCAAGCACCCCTAAGTAGACTGTTTTATAGAGATTATTAAGTTGATTCTAAAATTTACTGGAAATGTACAACACCTAGCATGTCTGAGTAAGTTTGAAAAAGACAGTGTTGGAAGATTCACATTATCTGATTTTGTGACCTCATTGACTAATCAAGACTGTGTACACTGGTGAAAGGGTAAGTATACAAATCAATAAAACAGACTATGGAAACACTCCTATACATATATGGATAACTGTCAAGAGAGGCTCCAGGATAATTCAGTAGAGAAAGGATGTCTTTTCACAGACAACTCTGGAAAAACTGAATATTCATTAAAAAAATTTAAAAAAGGAACCTCAATTCTTACGGCATACAAAAGAATTAAGCTGTAATAGATAATTCA